CTCTCCCTCTCTCTCTGCCCCAACGCTGCTCACTCTCTCTCTCTCGAAAATAAATAAACATTAAAAAAATTTTTTTGTAAAGCCTATTCTTGAATAAATTCACTATAGCATAAATACCAAATTATGATTTTTGACAACACTCTCAGGGGTATGTATGTTTTAGGAGGAGGAAACACTTTAGGCCAAAAGAATGACTCTCTAATTGCAAAATTTACAAACCTCTCATTTTAAAGAAGAGAAATCTGAGGCTCCAAGAGGCTAAGGGGATGTGCCAGAGGTTACCCACTGGCTGGTGGCGGGTTCAGGCTGGAGCTCCTGGCTTCCCATCACACACCACTCTCTTCTCTTGCTACCCAGATGTTGTGCCACGCAGCACCATCTACCAGCAAATGTGCCTGTGTTTCATGGACCTGGGGTCCTTGCATAAAGAATCCTCTGCACATAGTAACTTGAGGTCCACTGGTGCTGAATGTCTCTCTGAGAAATGCACGGTTCCCACAATTTCTCTGATCAGTCACTCACATAATCTCACATTTCTAACACAGGAAATATTGAACAAATATTTTCAATTTTGTAGAGAAATGTTTGGAATGGATTTGATTACTCTCTACTCAGGAGACAAGCTTATTGTAACTCAAGGGTCAGTTTCCTGGACCCTTAAGGGCCAGCACAGTCCTTTTTGTGAGAGAGAGAACAAGAAGTGGGGGCAGAGAAAGAGAATCTCATGCAAGCTCTGAGCTGACCTCAATATCAAGACCCTAGGATCATGACCTGAGCTGAAATCAAGAGTGGACTCAACCGACTGAGCCACCCGAGTGCCCTCAGCACATTCTTTTAGGACACAAGAGGTCCCCCACATCCATCATGGACCACGTTAGCCCCCCAGTCTTAAGAGGCCCTCCCCTCCTTTCTCTGCTTTGGATCATCACACCCTTATGCAGGTCTCCCCAGATCCGGTGCCCCGATTGTCACAGCTCACAAGGTATGTAGGTGGGTCAGATTTCACCATACTATTGAGGAAAACTCAGATTGCACAGGACAGGAAAGGTCTGAGTTCAGATGAGACTGGACAAGAATTTTTCTCTAGTTCAAGGGAAAACTTTCCAAACAGGTCGGTTATTCACTGAGGCTTCTTGTTGACACACCTCAGTTCTGAAATCTGACCCCACCAACTCATCTTCTACCTTCTGTGAAAGACTCCCTTTCACTGCCACACATAGCTCTTTCGCTCATTCAAACCCAGCCCTGCCCCTGATGGGTCCTCATCAGTGTCCCTCCCTGTGTGTTTCATGTCCCCAAGGCTGATGTATTTGGTCTGGGTCAACACCTTGGGGACCTGGGTGTCAGGATGGTTCTTGAAGGTATTGGTGTCCCAAATCCCTTCCAAGAGTCCCATAGGGACATGGATCCCTAAGTCCTAACCCTGAACTCCGAATCTCCCTACCAGGTAGTTGCAGAGAAATCTCTTTATTCACTCATTGCGCGTCAGGATGCTAAAGCCTCGTACATACACAAACACACACACGGTCTCCCAAGGACAGATGGAAATCTTTACTCTAAACCCCAAATGAGGAAATAAAAGATTTTCCTACATACCCCATAATTGGCATAGTTCTCTCCCCCCGGGGAATATAAAACTCCACATTTCTATATAAGGCCGCATTCCTTCCTTTCCCTAATCTGCCTTCCTTTCCCCTTCCCCCTTTCAGATGGCTTTTACAGGCCTGTTTGGAATATGAAAGAGGTCTGTGACTGAGTGGTTACATTCCTCAACAACTGTTCTCAGCCTCACAGAGACCCAGCTAAAGCTCAGAAACGCACACACACACTCAGCTATTACTTTATGTTATTTCTGCTACATATATGCTAGTTCCTGCTTTTTATAGTCTTGTGACCCCCAAAACTGCATTCATGGTGTCTATTATTCAGAGTGAAGAGTCATACTCATCAAATTCCACTGTTCTCTGTGCTATGGAAATACATTCGAGAAGTTTCCCAAAAAGACTACAAATGACAATAATAGTGTATAGGCCACAGGGTTGTTGGGAGGTGCCAGTGAATTCAAACATAGCACAGGTACACACATATAACCTAAAAGGGAAGTGATAAGCATAGTACTTGGCACACAGCAAGTGCATAGAACATTCTGGGGATTATGATGAATATATGTATTCACGGTATGTATGTATGAGATTTCAGTTTTTAAAAATGCCACAGTGTAAAAATTGAAAATCTTAGCTCCCCATTAAGCCTAACTATAGGTTGAAGGAAAGCCCCCCAAATATTGTCCAGTAAAGACCTTTGTACCTTTGAAAAACCCATGCTTCCATCAAGCAAATTAGTGATGGGTTTTGAAATCCATATGAATCACTAAAATCAATGGGACACTTCCAATGTGCTGGGTACATTGATAACTTATTCTCCAAAACATCCTCATGAATAAGGTTCTACACTCATTGATGCCATTTTATAGTTGGGGAACTTGAAATGGACTCAGTCAATAGAGTGAATTAATTGGTTTGTAGGTTGAGAAATGCTCTGGTGACTGGTGTAGATGTGGGTTGAGCCAGTGGTTTTAATCTTGTGATTATTTTTTGCTTCCACTTTCCCATGCTGGCTGTAATCTCGGCAAGTATCTCTCATCATCTTCACTTTATTTTGTTTTATTTATTTATTTATATATTTACTTACTTACTTATTTAAAGGTTTATTTTTGAGAGAGAAAGAAAGAGCACGAGCGAGAGAGGGGCAGTGACACAGAATCTGCAGTAGGATCCAGGCTCTGAGCTGTAAGCACAGAGCCCTATGTGGGGCTCAAACCCGTGAACCACGAGATAGTGACCTGAACTGAAGATGGACGCTTAACTGACTGAGCCACCCAGGCATCCCTCATTATTGTTAGATGCCTGTCAACAACTCAAAGGAGCATACTTCCATGTCCACAGCTATTGACATAGAAGATCTTTTCTGGCAGATCTTCCAGAAAATTAGGAAAGGGTCATTTTCGGAAGTCTTCCTCAGACCTCTTCTCACTGTTTCATTGTCCTAATTCAGACATCAACGTGGCCTGGAGATGGAGGAGCAGATGGGCTTTTCTAAAAGCCTGAAACCCAAGGCTGAGTATAAAAGAAATTACTCCAAAACTGCACTGTAAAAGTAAGAGAGAGAACTTCTCAAAGCAAGTTTAGGGTTGCTGCAGATTTTTATCCTAGAAGCAGATTCTGAGATGTACACGTACATTGGGGGGTATCCTTGTGAGCAGCGACTTGGAAGGGAAGAGAAAGAAGCAGGGTTGAGCAGGAGAAGCCAGACTGCAACATCTCAACAAGGACTTTGGCCAACTCTACAGGGAGCTCTGGTGCTGGGCCGACCCTTCAGAGGTATCTTGAGTTGGAATAAGGTAAGTGGGAATAGGGGTGGGGTCCTCACACCACCCTTACCTTCACCCCTGGTTATAGAAACCAGATATTGTTTGTGGGATGTCCAGGGAGGAAGCAGGGCCTTGTGGGAGCCGGTTCTTGTCAGAAGAAGGCAGTTCCTGGAGAGAGATTGGGCTGTCAGCTGACCACACTTCCAGCACCTGGGAGAATAAGCCCTTCTGGCCTGAAGAGGAATCTGGACAGTGCATTCCAGTAGTCATGAAGCAGTGTGGGAAAGGAAGCAAGTCACCTAACTTCTAGAAGCAAAGCTCAAATCTGCACACAGGCCTTTTAGACGGCATTGCCCCAGCTCTCACCTTGTTGCTTCCTGTCCGCTGTGTGCCGATTTCTACACAGATTGCTGCAGAGTGTTTTTGGAAAGAATCCCAGATACACAGTATCTAAGTGTCAGCTGCCCATTCACGTGGGGGTCTTGTGAGTAACTAAGAGGGCAGGATGTAAGGAGGAAACCAGTGGTGCTACACCTCACTGGGTGGGTAAGGAGGCCAGATGACTGGCCAGATTTGCACCAGAGAACCGTGGGGTTTGAACAAATGAGGAATGTGAAGAATTTGGAAAGGTTACAAAGAAGTCACTACATTGATGAATGTTTTTCTGAACCAGCACGGTCAGGAAAGAGAAGACTGTGAATCAGGGATGGCTTTGGTGATCTCACAGAGTTGTTTTTTTACATCATATGCAGAATGCAGCCAAAATTTACCATCACAGCCTTCTTCAGGCAAATTTGCCAAATGGTTTCATCCCTGACCACATAGACAAAAATGTTACCTGGTTCAGGGCACATGGCCATTTTATTTCAAATGTTGGAGATGTTCGCTGGTGGCAAAATTAAAAACACACCTAATGGGAAGAAAACTCCCTGGTAGCTTGACAACACCTGACGGAGGATGAAACCTGACCAAGCTTTAGGATGTTGTTGGTCCATGGAGGCTGCATCCAATAAACTACTTAATCTTGTCTGGTTCCCATGGCAACAGGCACTGAAGCGGCTTCCTGAATAAGAGTGAATGTGATCCACTGCCAGCATGGAAATGTAAATCCTCCCCTATTTCCTCTCTGTTTTCCAGCGTCTCTCTCTCTGACATGTTCTGTGTTACAAAGCAGTGCCGGGAACACTGCTTGTGTCTCCCTCTTCCCAACACTCACCAGTTGCAATGGAGAAGCCCCCGTCCTCTCTATTTTCAGCACGAAACACAGAAATGGGGGTAGAAGAGCATAACGCATATTCTGAAAGGCAGGGAAAGTCATTCCAGATTGCACATTACCCATCCATGTTCCTCACCCTCACTCAGAGTCCTATTTTTACTTCCAGGCAGTAAAGCCTTTTTCCGTTGGAATCCAATCAAAGCGTGTTTGTGCTCAGGAGCAAGACAGATTTCCTAAGTAACAGAGAAGCCATTTTTAGGGAGTCTTAGGAGGGGGAAGATCTTAGAATCCACCTAAACTTAGATCCAGCCTTTGGTGCGGTATGTCTCACAGGATGCACTCACACATTTCATCTGGTTTATTATAAGCTGCCTGAGACGCCCTTCAAGGCTATGCCAGTTGAGCCTCAAGCTGCGGACTGCAGCAGCACAAAGCCTTCTCCTTCTTTTCCTTTACAGCACACCATCTGTTTTCCAGCTCTTGAAGAGCGCTACAATGAAGCCAGTTTGTGCTGACAATGATCATACCGATGGTATATCTGGGCTGTCTGTCAATATATCTGGGTGAGTTAGTTTTGAGGGGACGACATCAGTCGTGGTTTGTGGCTGGTGGTTTGTGGCTGCAGTTAGCTCTGCAAATATAAATGTGAACCGTGAGTTTGCATCCTAGGTGTGTGGCTTGGGGTGTGTACGAGCACAGACAATACTCCGTGATTCAACAAATATGGTAAGAGATGAGCGCTCGATACATATTTATACATATTAACTGAGTGAAAAAATCCAAGTATTATTTTGCAAAATGTGAACTCTAGATATTGATTCAAGCAAATAAACTTATTTAAATTATTTATGAGACATTTAAGGGAATTTGAACGCCGATGCAATACTTGATGTTATTCCATCATTGAATGAAGTTGAATGATGGGTTAGAGGGAGTTTATGGTATTGTTCTCTCTACTATGGCATATAGTAAACATGAAAACCACATACAGCTCTGGTGGGGGTAATTTGAAGTTTCCTAGAAGAAGTGTCTTCTAAACTGAGAGCTCAGGATGGGAGGAACTAGAAGGCATAAACTGAAGGTAAGGGTGTGAGAATGAGGTATGAGCTGGGTAAATCTTCCAGGTGTAAGAAACTGCATGGACATAGGCTTGAAGGTGAAAAAGCATCTCCTGAAAGAAATTCAGTAGGATTGCATCAGAGGTTGGCAAGAGAAGAGGCTTAGAAGTAAAATTGGGATCTGCTTTCTGAACGATTCTTTCTTTCTTTCTTTCTTTCTTTCTTTCTTTCTTTCTTTCTTTCTTTCTTTCTTTCTCTTTTATTTTAGAGAGAGTGTGTGAGCAGGGATAGGCAGAAGGAGAGGGAGAGAGAATATTAAGCAGGCTCCACTCTCAGTGCAGAGCCTGATGGGGGGCTCAACCTCATACCTCTGAGATCATGACCTGAGCTGAAATCAAAAGTTGGATGCTCAACTGACTGAGCCACCCAGGCACCCCTCTGGACATTTTCTTAAGAGCAATTGGAAGCCATTGAACAAGGAAGTACCAGATTGGATTCAGGGTTTAGAAAATCTGCAGTTAGGCTTGATGGTCCCAAGAGAGTACCAACTTTAGAAAGTCTTTTTTGAGTACTACTCTAGCCCTACTCTTTCTGAGCTGTAGATTTCACCCTCCTTACCTCCATGCTTTACAGATTCTATGGTGGTTACATTGAAAGTTCCATGTTGAGGTGAGGGCGGACTGTGTATTCTTTGCTGTGAGTCAACTGTGTCCCTTGCAAATGCATAAATTGATGCCCCAACTCCTAATATGACTGTATTTAGAGATAGGGTTTTGGGAGGTAATTAAGTTTAAGTAAGGTCATAAGGTTGAAGTCCTGATATAATAGAGTTGGTCCTGATCTAATAGGATTATAATAAGAGGAAGAAAGAGAGATTGTTCTGTCTATACACAAGCACTGAGAAAAGGCCCTGGGAGGACACGACAGAAGGCCGCCACCTGAAGCCAGGAGGAGAGCTCTCACCAGAACATAACCATGTTGGTATCCTGATCTCAGGCTTCCAGACATGAGGACCCTGAGAAAAGATATTTCTGTTGTTTAAGCCACCCAGCCTACGGTATTTTGTTATGGCAGCCCAAACCAACTAAGTCCCCCTCCATGCAGATAGATGAACTTGGGCTGGGAGAAACCTGCTAAACAAACTGCCTGGCAAATGACTGTCTTTGCAAATTTGATCATGATCCTCAAGCTGATTTTCCATTTCCTACATGACAGACCACCAAAGTATACTTCCCATGACAGACCACCAAAGTACACCGTCTCTCTCAGTGCTAAAGACACGTTTAGTAGTCCTTTCCTTCAGATATTCCCTAACGGCCCTCTATTAATATGATTTTATGCTCCCAGGAATCTGTATGAATTTATTCCATGAAAATCAAACTCAAAAGCTGTCAACTTCCTCTGCACTCCTTAATGAAACTAAATTGGACTCAACCCCTATTGGCTTTAGCAATGAAGAAATCCAGTCCTAGACTTTTGGTGACCAGTTCCCTCCCCACTCCCTTTAGGATTGTAACAACACCCAGGATTTACTCAGAACAGACATCTTGTCATCTGATCTGTGGGAAGAAGTGGAGTTCTACTTATTCCCTCTCTTTTCCTTTCATTCAGGTGGGGGCTCTGAGTAGACAAGACTCCTGAGAAGCACCTAGGGTCCCAAACCCTTTGCAAACTTGTAACCATCTCATCCAGATGTCCTATCTCTGCAGATCTGTAAACCTTTCCTATCAGTTTTCAGAATTAACACCTCCATTCTGATTCCACCCTCATCCTTGTAAAATGTAGCTCTACTCTCTCACAGAGAGTTTAACTGTCTCCTGTCAAGATATGGAACTTTTCCACTACCCCAAAATGTTCTGATATTTCCCCTTCCCTGACCCCAGGCCTTCATTGACCACTGATTGGTTTTCTATCTATACAGTTTTGCCTTTTCTAGAATTTCTAATAAATGGATTCATAGTGTGTATACTCTTTTCTGTCTGGGTTTATTCACGTAGTATAATGCTTTTGAGATTTATCTGTGTTGTATTGGCAGTTCATTCCTTTCTAGTGCTAAATACTGGTCCATAAGAAGAATAAACCATACTATCCATTCACTAATTGGTTGATATTTGGGTTGTTTCTAATTTTTAGTTCTTATGAATTGTGCTGCTTTAAACATTCCCACACAGGTTTTTGTGTAAACCCATGTCTTTATTTCTCTTGAGTTGTTATTTAGGCATGGGAATATAAATCATAAGGTAGGTATGTTTCACCATGGCAAGTTTTCATTTAACTGTATAAAAAGCTGCCCAATTATTTTCTAAAGTGGTTGTGCCATTTTTGCATTCCAACCAGCATTGTATGAAAGTTCCAATTGCTTTACATCCTTGCCAACAATTGGTTTTGTCAGCCTTTGTAATCTTAGCTATTCTAGTGGTATGTGTTACATAAAATATAAAAATAATCTCCATTCTAAATATAGAAATAACTCCATATTACAATGTCAATGCCTCTGAGAAGGATATCAGTTTAAGGTGCTACCATCTAACATCTTAGTGGTATTTGCTCGTATAGTCATTCCAGTATAGGGCCCTTGGAATTCACTGACTTCCTGGAGGCCATTAATAAGCAAATATTTCTTGGGCATAGTAATGGTTCATTTTATGCCAGTTTGACTGAGTCATAGTGATGGGGTTTTGGACTGATGGGGTCCACAGCCAACGGTCAAGAAAGAATTCTTGAGATGTCTTTGGTGCAAAAAGGGTGATTTTATTAAAGCACAGGGGCAGGACCCATGGGCAAGAAGAGCTGCACTGTAGTTGTAAAGAATGACTGGTCATATTCTATGGAGTTTGGGGGAAGTAAAGTCAAGAGGAAGTTTCTTAAAGGGATTTCCATCTGCTAAAGAAAACTCATAGATTACTAGGGGCCTAGCTATTGTCAAGCTAAGGTTGTTGTCCCCTCTAAGAAAGCATTATCATTAAAACAGTAGGGAGTTCCTGGAGATTAGGCTATTGATAAAATTGCCTTTTTCTTGTAATTTACTAAAATATTTGTAAACTGATGGAGACTCTATCAGTTTAACCATTCATCTACTGTCCTTTCCTTTGTTCTTGGGCAGCGAGGAGTGCCTGAGGAATATCACACATATCCCACAGGGTGAAGGTGGGAGAAAGGGTTGTTAGCTTATGCTCTGCCCTCAGCTTTCCTTACACTTCCTCATTTACTGGATGCCTCCACATTTAGTTAAACATTATTCTGAGTGTGTCTGTGAGGATGTTTTAGGATGAGATTAATATCTGTATTGGGGGACTGAGTAAAGTCTTCATTAGGATGGGCCTCATCCAGTCAAAGGAAGACCTGAATAGAAAAAAAGGGTGAATAGGGGTGCCTGGGTGGCTTAGTCGGTTAAGCGTCTGACTTTCACTTAGGTCATGATCTCCCGGTTCGTGGGTTCGGGCCCCGTGTCGGGCTCTGTGCTGACTGCCAGCTCAGAGCCTGGAGCCTGTTTCAGTCTGTCTCCCTCTCTCTCTGACCCTCCCCTGCTCACGCTGTCTCTCTCTCTCTCTCTTCTATAAATAAATAAAAACATTAAAAAGAAAAAAAGGGTGAATAAGAGAAAATTTGCTCTCTCTCTCTGCCTAATTGTATTTGAGCAGGAACATTGGTCTTCTCCTGTTTTTGAACTCATACTTGGACCAGAACTTACATGATTGGATCTCCTGGTTTTCAGGCCTTTGGTCTCACACTGGAACTACCATTGGCTTTCCTGTCTCTGGCTGGCCACCTGTAGGTCTTGGGATTTTTCAGCCTCCATAATCACATGAGCCAGTTTCTTACAATAAATCTCTTCACATATGTTATGGACTGAATGTTTGTATTCCCCCCCCCCCCCCCAAGTCATATGCTGAACTCCTAATCCTCAAAATGGTGGTTTTAGGATGTGGGGTCTTTGGGGAGTAATTAGGTCGAGGGTAGAACCTTCATGATAGGGTTAGTGTCCTTATAAAAGAGAGTACAGGAAGCTCCCCATGCCCTCGCTGCCATGTTGGGACACAATGAGAAGACAGCTGCCTATGAACCAGGATGTGGGTTCTTTCCAGACACCAAAGCTGCCGGCAACTTGATCTTGGACTTCTCAGCCTCTAGAACTGTGAGAAATGAATTTCGGTTGTTTATAAGACACTGGTCTAAGTAGTTTGTTATTGCAGCAACCCCAAGGACTAAGATACATATAGATACAAATGATGGTATAGGTACGGTATAGATACAGATATAGGTGCGGATATACAGATTCTACATATTTTGTTTCTCTGGAGAACCTTGATGTTCCTACTATGCATGACTCAACACTTTAAACTCTTGGAATTCAGCAGTAAAAACAAAACAAAACAAAACAGACAATAACCCCTGCCTGCAGGGAATCCCTGCCCAACTTGAAGGCTACTGGAGAAAACAGAAAATAAGAGGAGACAGTAAGTAAAATGTATGGAATGTTAGATGGAGATAGAGGTGAGTGGGAACACCCAAAGCAGGGGAAGGGAGGGGCTGACATTTTAGATAAAGAGTTCCAGGAAAGGCACACTGAGAAGGTGACGATTGAGAAGACCTGAAGTAGATGAAGGAGTAAGCCATGTAGCTATCTAGAGAAAGAGCATTCCAGGCAGGAGCCTTCCAGGCATGTGT